GTGACTGACTCTCTTTCCCTCCTGGTGTTTGATTTGTCAAACTAGCAAACACTGGACTCCAGTGCATACACCCAGTTAGTATAGCTCCTGTGCAAGGCTCGTGCACAGGCTGGCTTGAGCCAGACTTGAGAATAACTGTGTCTCTAGTCAGGTGCTGTGCCTACCCTGCAGATGGCCTTGGTCCTACCTTCCTAAACTGGTCAGTCTATTAGAAAAGAAAGGCCTGAATTGGCTGTTATCAGTTCATCATTTCTTGTTGTTGTGTGATGATAGAGAAAGAAGGTACAGAGAAGCAGGGAAGCCTTGGTCTAATGTGTGGTATCAGACTGAGGATGTAGCATTTGAACAGGGCCATGTGCCATCCAATATGGTATCCACTATTCACATGTGGCCATTTAAATTCAAATTGAATAAAGTAAAATACAATCTTTCTCAGTTGTACTAGGCACATTTCAAGTGCTCTGAGCAGTCTACTTTTGAACAGTATGGGGCAAGAGATAGATTATTCCTATCACTGTATAAAATTCAGGTGGAAATTTTCAAATTGTAGGTTAAGAGGGTAATAATGGTGAGAGCACTCCATATAGGAAATAGTCTATGCCAAAGTCCTAGGGTGGGGGAGAAGTCAAGGGTGACCAGGGAGGCTGGGGAACCTCATCTGAATGACACAGCTCCAGGCCTTGCTGGGACTGTGTTCTCAGGGTTATAACAAAATGGCTGAAATACCCATGTCAGCACTGGTGGCAAAAGGTGGTTAAAAATATCTTGGATATGACATTTTATGGTATGCCATCTTACCTCTTCCACCCCTGGGCCACAAGTTGCAACCAAGTGAGGCGATGTGCCTGTTGTTGAATACTGCTAAGTGTTGCAAGAGTTCTTCCTCCTCCTTCAGGGGAAAAAGACCTGTAATCTGCAGTAACATAAAGAGCTAAAGGAAGTTAGGTGTGGTACCACACACCTTTAATCCCAGAATTTGAGAGGGTGGGGGCAGGGCAGAGACATATTTCTGTGAGTTTCAGGCCATCCTGGTCTATGTAGTTCCAGGACAGCCAGGGCTACATAGAGAGACCCTTTAAAAAAATGCTAAAAAGTGATATAATAGGTGGTTATTAGTGTGGAACACCCCACCCCTTTTAACCAGTAGTGAGCTCATTTCTAATGAATGCTAGATTAGAAGGGACTCACCTCATCCATTTGTCTACAGCTCTATCCCAGCACATCTTTAGCATTGGGTACCAACAAAGGCTTGTGAGCCCTGAAAATGATCTACACAGATAAGGGGCCTCACAGGAGTTTGATGGCTTTTAAAAAAATTATTGGGGATTTTGTTATAGGTTTCAATAAAGAATATTAGTAATAGGATTTGAGGCCTCCCAAATCAAGTAGAAGGCAAAGCTGGTAGTAGGGCTTTGCTAAAATCTGTGGAAGGCTTTGGAATTTGTATTGTATTAGCAGTAGGGAACCCCTGAAGATTTTGGAGGAAGAGTGTCATGATTCAACCTTTTCTTTTCTGGAGGTTCAAGTTCAAGGATGGATTAGAACTGGGAGAAAATAGAGAAGGAAACACCAGCTTAAAGACAGTTCCAGAAGTCCTGGTGGAAGATAACATTTGGACCAATGATAAAACAAAATTCCAGTAGCCTACTGCATCCATTACCAGTTCATAGCCATTGTCCCCAAATCTCTACTGTTCATAAATGGCCAATATAAGGGAACTGAAATTCAATAGGTAGAAAAAATAGGAAGGCAGTCACCAGTTCCAGGCCTTAGCTAAGCAGACTGCACCCCTGTGCTGCAGCCTGAAGAGTCAATGGGGAACTGATGAAGCCACGAGACCTGACAGAGACTAAGGGCCTAGAACAGACACAGCATAGAGGTAGTCTGAGGGACAGCAATGTTGCCCATGTCAAACTACTTACTGTGACTGACTGCTCTCTGCATGTTCCCTTCCACTCATTCGGCATGCAGAGCGTTTGCCTTGCCACTGAGCTAAATCTCATTCAATGGATGGACATCAGTCTGTCCCTTCCTCCCCAACCTGGATCTTTCCCAGCTGAGATCAGCTCCTAACCATGAAGAATGTGGTCCTAGCTTAACTTTCTTCCAAGCAAAGCTGCTGCTGTAGTGCCCTTCCCAAGCTTACTCACTTGCTCCCTTCTACAGGGAGTCATGTACTGGGGGCTCTGGACCTAGCAAGAGATGTGGTAGACAATGGCTCATGGCAGAACCACCTACATGGTCCACAGGCCTAGCTTAGTGGTCAGAAGAGGCTTCACAGATGGGGGCACATCTGGATTCCCCCTTACTCTAAGGCAGTGGCTAATTTGACTATTAAAGAAAGATACCTCACTCTACTTCTTTATTATGAAAATAGCATGCCTTTTTTTTATAAAGGATAAAGCAATTTTATAAAACAAAGTGAAAGTATCCTTAAATAGTTAACAGTTGGTACATGACATTTCTGGTTTTTACTGTACACGTATATACTTACATGAGTTAGTAAATGATTCATGCTATATACACTGCTCTGCAACTTGAGTCCCCCATGCCAACCTCACCACCATCCCCACCCCCACCCCCCTATACCACCACCGCCATCTGAAAGTGTGGTGTATCTTTTCATGTTGGTTTGGAATTCTACCACTCCCAGCACACAGCACTTTATGTTAAAGCTATGATCATTTCATGAACCCTGATGTGGACAATCTTTGAAAGAGTGAATGGATGTCCACAACAGGACAGGTAGGGACAAGAGACAAAGGCTGCATGCATGGGCTGAACTGAAAAGTGATTTTTGTATCAGTGAATCCAGTATAAGGCCAAGCAGGACAGGTGGGAATGAGCCAGTAGGACAGCCTGCCCAGCCTTTCTAAGCAGCCCAGCTATTCCTAAGGTGGTGATAGGGAGGGCCCAGGATTAAAATGGTTGTATTTGGTTATTTTCAAGATTACTAGGACAGCCATAGGTAGATGGCATTGAGAAGAAGGTACAAGCAGACAGCTGACCCAGAGCATGAATGGAGCTGTACCTCACAAGGTCAAGGTCATGTGCACTGAAAGGTGAGAGCAGGTTTGGGGTGATGCTGAGGAGAATTATGTAGCTGTGAGCAGGGTTGAAGAGGTATAGAGTCTGGCCTCTGGCTCAGGAGCTGGCTAGATGGTGCCGCAGTGCCCAAGAGGGATTGCTGTAGAGTGGAACTGTTGAGCACAGTCTTGTGCCCTCTTCCCTTTGTTTTCTGTCTTCCTCCTGTGACAACTGATTAAAGGAGGAAGCCATCCTCACTGACACTTCTTCCACCCCAAATTACCCCTGACAAACCCCTGTGTAGTGATTTGACCAGCACCCCAGGGACACTCAGAGCTAGTTCGGCTTTAGATGTGTGATAGCGGGTTATTTAAGCCTTCCATTTTCTTCCCTTGCTTTTATTTAAGAGACAGAATGCAATTCTGAGCCATTAGATACACATAGACTTGCAGTTTCAAAGTTTGAAGTGCTGTCAGGTCAAGACAAAAGCTTCTCCATGGCTCAGGATGAGCAAGGTCTTCAGAAGTCTTGGCCTAGGTGCTCACGGGGTGTCAGGAGCCTGGAACCACTTGCCTAGCTTCAGACCAGCAGGGGCAGACAGGAAGGCGCACTCCTCTGTTTGCTCAGTTACCATCAGCAACTCCTTCTTTGTGTAAGATGGTAATGAGGCCATTAGGAGAGGCTCACCTGAAGTGCAGCTTGTGAATCCAAGGTAATTAAACACCTCCTGAATGAAAGGGAAAGGCCGGGAAAGGTTAAGTGAGGAATAATCCACAGCACAGGTGGCCCAAGGCCTTTGAGGAACCAGAAGAAGAGCGACAGTGCAGGCACTGTTTCAAAGGATGGAAATGTCACCCTAGTTCTCAAGAGGGACAGGGGTTTTATTATTGGGGGGTGGGGAGTAGGTAATTTTTTTAACATTTTAGCAAAAGATTTTTTTTTTTTTAAATCCATGGCAGAACCTACCTGGGGCTAAGGGACATGCATCACTCTTCAGGGGCTCTCAGTACTACAGCCTTTTGTGTCTGTGGTCCCAGAAAGGAAAGCACAGCAGAACAATACATGTGCACTGATTTACAGATGCACACATAGTCGCACGCGCGCGCACACACACACACACACACACACACGCACGCTATGATAGATGCCTAACTACTTTCAAATAAAGACTGTACTCTGTTGTCCCTCCCTTTATGGCAGCTGGCCCCTTGACACTTGTTCCTGTCCCTTCTGACTTTGATATAGTCCAGGAAGATGACCCACCCCTCTTGCAACCTCACAGGAGTGCTCCCTTTATTCAGTTAACCATATTTTAATGGCTGACTACATGTTAGCATTGTACTCTGTGACTTCACAAGTCCTTTCAGATGATCTTCACTGCACAAGGTCCAACAACAGAAGACTTTTGCTATTCAGGTTCTTGCCTCTAAACCTCTGCTGTCTCCATACAATGAGTCCTTATAATAGCCACCAGTATTCATCACCCCAAAGCAGAAACTGACAAATAAGATGTGCTGTATAATAGAATATTATTCAACCACAGAAAAAATGAAGACCTCATATATATGGCTATAGAAAATACCATTGTGATACATGGAAGAATCTGGTCACATGGGACTATCTGCTGGTCCTGAAATTCCATGCTCATGACTTAGGAAGCATAGGCAGGGCAGGTAGATGGTTGTCAGGAGAGAGTGAAGCATGAGGTTTTTTCTGGGGGTTGTGAAAATGTTCTAGAATTAGATGGTTGTGATTGTTGTACAATCTTACACTTAGATCACAAAACTCTACTCTATATGAGTGCATTTAGAGATGTGTGAAATATACTACGGCAGACCCTAATGCTGAGGACACTTTGTTTTCACACCAAATTGACCCTGTCCCAGAATTGTTTAAGGCTTTCTGGGTGCCAGGCTCAGCCATCTGTCCCTCTGAGACCTGCTCTCACACTTTCTTCTTTTTCATGTTGCCAGATCTCCTCCCTGAAGAACAGGCTGAAGAAGGTCTCCACAACCACAGGTGACGGGGTGGCCAGAGCCTTTCTCAAGGCCCAGGCTGCTTTCTTTGGCAGCTACCGGAATGCACTGAAAATTGAGCCCGTGAGTAGCCTCTTAGCGTGTGACAGCGTCTATGTTTGGTTAAGGATCAGATACTATGAGAAATCCTTGGTTCACCGTGTGTGTCTGTGTGTGTGTGTGTGTGTTTGTGTGTTTCTGTGTGTGTATGTGTGTGTGTAGTGGAGGTGAAGGAGTTTTACTATGCCCTCACTGCTTCTGTGAAGGGAAGACATGAAAGCACCCCACAGCCCAGGTAAAATCCCATGCCAGGCCCTTCATTGTTTTCCAGCTCACCGGTCAGCTGTGAGATAGTGATGATCAATACCACTTTCTAATTGAGGACACCAAGGCATCAGGGAAGAGAAATGATTTAACAATGATTTACCAAAACTCATGATTTTGCACTATGCCTCACTGCCCCTTGTCTTACAAAGGGTCCCCTCATCCTAGGAATGTGAATATCTCCGTGGTTCCTATATATATAAAACCATGTTTGAAATGACAGCAACACACAGTGTTACCTGTGTTACCTGCCTGCCTAGCCCTTTCACATCCCTAAGCCTCATTGACCATTCATTTTCCCTGCCTGCCCTGTGAGGTGATATTGTCAAGTGGCACAAAGATGTCAGGTCCTCCTTGCAACCAAAGACCGCTCCACCACTTCTTCCAGCTTCCCCTGAAAGCTTCCCACTGATGTCCCTCTACCCTGGAAACCTCTGCCTCCTGGCTGAGCAGAATGCATTTGTAGCCCAGGCAAACTGTGTGAGGGACCAGTTGTGGTCACACTGATCTGAGTCAACACAATCTGTTTCTAATTTCATCCTTCCCAGGTCCTCTAATGCCTATCAGCTTAAGGCAAGTTCCTATGTTCTGCTTGTCTAGAAGAGAGCTGGCTCCAACTCTGGCATAGACTTGGGCCCAGACAAAGCAATCAAGTTTTAAAAGTTGTTATAATTAAGGAAAACATTGTCCTCCCCCCTGTCTAAAAGGAGAGTTGGAAAGCTGGCCCAGTCTTCCCCCAGTATTTGTAGGACCCAGCAAGCTGGACATATTTTCACCTTGGTTCTTACCTCACAGTTGTCACATGCATTTCTAGAATCCAGGTACATATTGCTAGATATGAGCTGAATACATGAGCCCCCAGAAGAGTTGTTTTTAGTTGGAACTGACTGTGTTAGGCTCTTGGTTAAAGAGTAGAAACCCAGGAGTTTAAAGCCTGGGTCTATACATCTTAGCTGTATAAACTTGAACAAGTCAGGCCATGAAGTTAAACTTCTCTTCACCTGCAAAATATGGGTAAGCCTTCTTGCCTGTCACTTCTGGTTGCTGTCAGCATCACACAAAGCCCTAAAATGTGTCACAAGAAAGGTGATACCTGCATGGGGTCTGGTAAGTGAGGCTTGAAAGAACAGAAGAGCCCTACCCTGCTTAAGTGTGGGCTGTTCAACATACCACAGCTTGGCATCAATACTCCTGTGTCTGGAGCAGGAGGTTGGACTGAGCCATATATGGCAAAGGTTCGGATGCTGGTCTAGGAGTTTGCATTGTACTCTGTATGAACATAAGGTTCTGAGTGGAGATGTAATACAGCTGATGGCAGGTTTGAGCAGTAAGACAGTGATGGACTATACCAGGAAAAGGTTCCATGGTGGAAGAAAGGACATGACCTAGTAATAGATGAAGTACGGTAGTCAAATGGCATATAATGTCAAGCCTCTCCTGAGATTGGAAAGCTGAGAGAGGATGGTAGTGCCTCTGCTAAGAAAGGGGAAAGCCTGATGCCATGGTATTCATAACAGTGAAGTTTGTAATGAAAATGAATTGGCGGCATTGGTGAGATGCCTTATGTATCTATGTAAGTCCATGGGATACATACCATATATCCACTAAAGGGTAAGTTATGTGGAACTAATGACAGCTTTGGCTGTAGATGTGGCATGTTTCCTTGAATCTAAGTTGTCATTTGGTCATGGGGTACACCTCTGTTGTAGATTCACCTTTGCTGTGGTGTAAAGAAAAGAGAGCATGACATCAATTATTAGATATATCCACATTTCAGTGGGAAGAAGTTTTCATCTTAGAATCGATGGGATATGGCAGAACTGTCACTCTTTCACTCGCATTCATCTGTGTAAGGGTGGCTTTCTCTGTAAAGCAAAGAGGGAAACCAGAAGGCCCAAGGTTTCCCAATTAAACATTGTGCCGATAGTGGTCACCTTGTACTAAGTGGGTTAGAAGCTGTAAATCTAATTTAGCAGTTTTCTCCTCATCTGAAAAATGGAGAAGCACAATTCCTTGGGCAAAATTGTTTAAAATGGCTGCAGACCACACATGAGCATGAAAAGGGGCTGTAAGCATGGGAGAATGACATGTTGGCTAATGATCTGGGGTGTGAGGCAAATAGTGCTACAGGACAGGGATGCCTCCCCAGGATCATACATCTTTTAGTTACTTGTCTGCTTATGAAATTGTACCAATTAGGGTTGAAAAATGGCTCAGCAGTTAAGACTACATACTGTTCTAGAAGACCTGAGTTCAGTTCCCAGTACCCACATTGGGTGACTCACAACCACCTGTATGTAATTCAAGCACAAGAAGATCTGGTACTTTCTTCTAGCCTCATGAGCAACACTATTCAAACACATAGACACACCCACACATACTCATAATGGAGAGAGAGACAGAGAGACAGAGAGACAGAGAGACACACAGAGAGAGATTGTACCATATATCTATCTAGTTAGGTCTAGATAGTTAAATTGGAGATGTAGCTCAATGGTAGAGAGCCCGTATAGTATACACAAGGCCCTGAGTTCTAGGCATTTTACTGAGAAAACAAAATAATTAGCACCTGTTCTTGGTTAAAATGTTTAAAGAAACAACTAGAAATAAGAAGCATCCTGGTCCCATCATCTAGAATTGAAGTAGTGTGTCAGTGGGCTTCTACCCTATCTCTTATCTTCTGTTTGCTTTTGGTTCATTTTGTTTGGGGTCTTGAGTTTTATTTTTGTTTTGTTTTACTTCTTTTAAGCAGTTGAGGTATCCTAGACAAATCTGGTATTCCACTTACTACTCTGGTTTTGCCTTTTAGTATGAGTAAGCACTTTTCATATCACATAGAATCACTTTTCAAATGATGAGAACAGTGGACCGTAGTTACCTGGAAAGCTTCCAAAAAGATAAACATGTAAGCCCACTGACAGATTTTCTCTTTCGTTCCTGTGATCTGAAATCAGGGCCAATGCCCACTCATTATCCTGTTGCTGGCTTTTATGGCTGTTGTTGACATTGATGAGAGCATCTTTTTCCAAATCTTCATGATTGGCCGGCGCTCGGCCAATGATTAAAGGCGTTGGTGGCGCTCGCCTTTAATCCCAGCACTCAGGAGGCAGAGACACGCGGATCTCTGTGAGTTCCAGGCCAGCCTGGTCTCCAGAGCAAGTGCCAGGATAGGCTCCAATGCTACACAGAGAAACCCTGTCTCGGGGAAAAAAAAAAAAAACTTAATGATTTTTCTTAAGCATTTTCCCTATCATGTGTTTACTGGGTCAAAGGATCCAAGAACATTTTAAGGCTTTGGTACTTTAGGGAGGAAAAAATGGGTGGCTGGCTGCAGAACCTAACCCAAGAGGCAGAGAGGAGGAGCAGAAAGAGTGTGCAGGAAGGAGGGCCCTGAGTAGCCTGGGAATCACTGACCACCCCTCTGCCACACCTGCCCTTGCTACTTGTGGTGTGTTGCTGTCCAAACAGGTGTGGTGGCCTCCCACCCAGAACAGTGCTATGTGGTGATAAGAAACTGGTAGCTTCAGAGTAACCACTTGCATTGCTTGGAAAACATAAGCAGTTACTTTCTGACTTGCTCCCAAGCAGCTGTGACTTAGGACTCCTTTATACCTCTGAGCCTCAGTTTCTTTCCATGTGGTGCCTGCTCCTGGCCAGATTGTGGTGAAGCTTGAATACACCCAGCCCATGGCCTGTCTGTCATCCCTAGGACAGCTAGCCTATCTCCTGTTCCTCACTAGGATTCCTCTCCAGATAGAAGTATTTGGGATGCAGCTCCTGCAGGACCAGTTGATCCCTGCCTGATTGTGGTTTAGAGCTTACTTGAGAACCTTTGTGGGTTTTCCTACTGGAAACATTCAGAGTGCCTCTGAGCTTTGTTTTATCCATGTCAGAAGGAAAGGGAAGGGCCCTCTTAATAAGGCTGCTCCATACTGGGCCTAGCCTGGGTTAGGTGGGTCTTTTCAGGGCCACATGAGTTGTTTCAAAGGGACTTGCTCTAGTTGAAAAGTGAGAACATGCGAGAACAGCTGTGTCTGTCCCTCCTCAGTGGCTTCCCACAAATTAGGGCATAGTTCACCTTCAAGTGGCTTCCCAGCCAGAATCTTCCCAATTTACCTGCCCTTTGCCTTGTCCATTTTACAGATGTGGCAGAGGTTCTACTTGGCAATGACTTCCCCAGAATGTAGGAGAGCCAAGAGGAGATTCCAAGACAAGGTTCCTCCCACTGACTCCCCTGCCTATTTTTGTTCTAGTTCTCAGGTGTTCTATCCTAATAATTCTTTTTGTTTCCTGTGCCGAGTGTAAGCCATCCAGTATATTTTGTATATAGGTGTCATCCAGTATATTTTGAACCATTGGACAGAAGAAAGGGTGTAAGAAATGAATGGATAGAACAGTGTTGGAGGCCAGGGTTAGCCCTGAACCTCTGTCCCATGTGCATGCATTGGTTTGTCCTATAGGGAAAGCTGTATAGGTAGCTTCTTCCTGGAAGAGGGAGAAGGTGTCTGCAAATCACAGGGGCATATGACCCACTTTTCAGTTACCTGGAAAACATCCGAAGCAAAGCCCAGGTTATTTAACAGTGTTGGCCAAGCCAACTTGTTCTTCCCACTTAAATGACAGAACCACAGCAGCCAGGAAGCCCCATTCGGAGAACTTCTTTATCCATGTCAAGCACAGCACAGGCTCCAGCTCATTTATTTAGGCCTTTATTGCTCTCTGATACGCCTCCTGGTAGTTGCCAGGCAACTCTGGGAGCA